TAGTCCAAGACGAGTTAGGCAACATCCTCTACCAGCCTGATAAAGCTCTTGATTGCTTGAACTCCAAATGGGATTCGGTCTATGGAGTCAATGCCTCACATGAAGACCCCATTAAGATTTTGCAGACCATTTGGCCCTATGTTGGCAATCATGTCCATGCTGCCTCTCTCCCCCCATTGACGCGGAATCCCTTTTTCGGGTCTTCAACGTAGAAAGAAGCAAGCCGCCCCAGGCTTAGATGGGTGGCGAACTGTCGAGCTCCAAGCTCTACCCGTCCAAACCTTCGAACCAATTGCTCGTTTCTTTCAGTGGGCTGAGGACACCTTTGGCAATGAGCTTCCACACATGCTCACTTGTACTAAGCAAATAATAATACTCCACAAACCTGGGCCAAATGACGCCATGAACAAGCGGCTTATCACCATCATTCCCGCTCTACTGCTCGCCTACACTGGCGCTAGTTACGAGCAGTTGCAGTCATGGCAAGAAGCCACAATGCCACCTTCCATCATTGGTGGCATCAAAGGTCGTACCATGCCGCTTTTGCACACAGCCCTGCGGCTTGATATCGACACCGCCCAGCATGCTGACCAAGACCTAATCGGTGTCAAGCTCGACAAGGCCAAGTGCTTCGATCGCATCGTCCCTTCGATCACATGTGCGTTGTTTCTGGCCCTGGGCCTCCCCGGGCCTCCCCAAAGGTTTCGTCAACATTTTCGCCAAAATGTACAGGGGTTTCCGTAGGCATCTTTGCTACAAGGGCTGGATGAACCCAAATCACACCACTGCAGCTAACGGTGTAGCCCAGGGTTGCTCCCTATCCCTAATAGCAATCAACGTCCACACCAAAGTGTGGATCCACATGCTTGAATGTATGCCCGAAATCACGGTTAAGGCTTATATTGACGACGCATATTTATGGGCCAGAATCCATCACATTGCGCTTCTTTCGCAGGCCGTGCAGGCTACCAAGCTGTGGGACATGCTCATTGGGCAGAAGCTTAATGATGGTAAATCCATCGTGTGGGGCACTTCCACAACGGCTCGCCAAGCCGTCCGAGACACCTTCCCAGAGATGAAGCTCGCCCTTACTTTCGATGCCTTAGGAACCCGTATCTACACATCCAACAAGAATGATTGCGGGCTGGATGACAAAACTTTACACAAGGTTCTTGCTTCTGTTGAGTGTATTGGGGCCCTGCCGATTCCTCTTAAGGTTAAAGCCTCACTAATTGGGACAAAAGCCATTCCCACACTCACCTACGGTGCACACATTTCTTGTTTGCCCAAAGCTGCAATCCAGCGTGTTCAGGGGGCAGTTGTCAAGGCCCTTTGGAAACATCGGCCGATCGCACGTTCCAGATGGCTTGTTTTGACTTTTCATGGACAACCACATCGGACCGATCCTTCCTTGGTCAAAGCCTACAATTGTGTTCTGGAACTTTTCAGGTTTTGCTTTCAAGCACCAACGATTGTCCAGAAACTCTGCACTCTCTGGGAAGCCAGAGCAAATCACAAACATTCTCTTGTTTCGTGCTTTGCACATGCATGTGACACCCTGGGCATTCAGGTCGACTCGCAACTGCGGCTCCGATTTCATCACTCGGCTCCGCTTCAGCTGGGCGAATGTGCCCCACGTGATGTTGCCCCAGCACTTCAACAGATTGTTTGCCAGTGCGCATACACTCGCGCCGCCTCCACCACCCGGAAGGACTTCAGTCAGCCGACAGGTCTCCTGGATTTGCATGCCTTGAAGATGTTTGCTCGAAAACCCACCTTTGCCACACCTGACGGGCCCTCATCCACCATCAGGTTTGAATCAGTCATCGTTGGCTGCACACTTACCAGAGATCGTCTTGCTGCTGCAGGCTGGTGCGACTCAAACACCTGCAGGTTGTGCGGTCAGTCCAAAGAATCATTGTACCATATAGTTCACGAATGCTCTGCCTATCATAATGCCGCCTCCCCACCTGTTCTCCACGAACTTGGACCAAATTTTCCACTTGTGGGGCATGTGGAACACCCTTTCCGCCTCACTGCCTTTCGGTTATTGCACAGCATAGCACGGGTTGATGAAGCTGCATTCTTTGACCCCGACGCTCCCTTGCAGGAAGTATGGACTGACGGGTCAGTTCTCTGGCAGGAAAGCTTTTGGCTGACGACAGCCACTTTTGCTGTCATTGACCAGCATGGACACGAGCTTCATGTAGGTAGAGTACAACGCTGGAACCTTTCCAGTTTTGTAGCCGAACTGTGGGCCATTTGGATCGCATTTTCAAGCAGCCAAGCACCGGTCCGCATTTTCTGTGACAATCAGGCCGTTGTGCACAATGTCCAGTTTTTGGTGCAACATGGGGCCGTTCAACCGCATTGGAAATGCCGTGAGTGGTGGCTGGCAATTCTGGAGTTGCAGAGGTCTCGATCACAGTTCCATTGTTCGCCATTGGAAATACATTGGATACCTGCGCACCTCTTCAAGAATGTGCCAAACCACCAGTTGTGCCCCGTCAAAGCTGCCGAAGCAGGAACCACGGTCCGGCACATCATTCGAAACCGTGATGCCGACCATGCGGCGCGGACACTGGCTTCCCGCATTGCTCCGGTTTATCCACACATGACACGGGCAATGCAAGCAGCCGCGACCTTGCATCAGGAGTGGCTAGTCAGACTTCATGCCCACCTAGATACACATGCCGAAGTTTCTGTGGCACCCCGTCTTGACATCCCTGCAACTGTTGATAACTTTGACATTGCTGATGCACGACGACAGTTTCCCAAGTGGGAATGGAATGCGGTTAAAGCTCTGCATGGCTGGAAGCCCAAAATACCAGACAAGCTTGCTCCGCCAAAACGCTGGAGATATGCGCAGGCCGAGTGGCATGAGATCTGCAAGTTCGCCCGTACCCTGCGTTGGAAAATCCAAGCTGACACGGCAACAAGTTTTTGCGAGATCGCTGTTTTGTTCCATACAAGGGGATTCAGATGTGAGGGTGATTATGACACAATCACCATGCACTCAATTGTCTGTAAAATCAGACAAGCTTTTCAATTTGTCTCCAAGGATGTACATGTTGATGCCTTCCCAGGTGACTTCAACCCAAGGTTTGTTAAGTCCGCCGGCAAGGTTCTTCCACAAAGCGCAATTATTGGCGCGGTTCCCTTTATGGAGGACGACGTCCTCTTTTCTTTGGCAAAGGCATTGAATGCCGGCGCAGGACGTACCATTGACTCATGGCGCGTCCCTTTCTGTTTTTAGTTGCTAGGGTCCAGTCTTTTCTGTGCAGGGGGTTTCTTGTATGATCGGTCCAGAGCGACCGACATACCGCTGACGCTTTCAGGATCGTCGAGCGAGTGGTGATATATAATATATATTTTACTCAAATAGCAGGCCCAGGCCGGCCAGCTAACCCCTGATCTACCATCTGCCCTGTCTGCGCATACAATGCCGGAAGTGAGGGACAAGAGCCAGAGTGGATACTAAATTAGAGGAGAATAGAATCGATGTGATTGATCAACATAGGCAGGTGTAAGATCAGGCGAGTCATCCACAAAGCAAAAACTGTACGGGAGAACATTAGGAGTATTGACAGTATTGACCAGCAAGGCTAGTCTAGTCAAGGCTCTGAGTGAGAGCAATCTGATGAGCCAAGAAGCCAAAGAGAAGAGTGACATCAGGATACTTAGTTTGGTATGGAGCGTGAAGCAGGGCACCTCAACCAAGATGGACGTTCAAGAGGCCGGCTCCAGGCTGAATTACCCATTTTGATTCCATGAAGGAGACTTGGGAAAGTGCAAGAGACTCTTGCACTTGTGCGGCTTTTGAGCCAAATGGCCGCAAACAAACCAGGACCCCTGCAGAGAACGAAAAGAGTGCTCCTTGCCGGGGTTTACCCAAAAACCCGAATATGCAAGGAATTAACCATGTGTTTCTCATGTTTTTTCGGGGCTGAGCCTGAGCCTCTATTTTGGGTTCATGATTTTTGGAGCTCTACCTAATAACTACTAGCACCAGCAAAACTCTTGAGAACCTGTAAATATTCTTCTCAAAACAATTTGTTGTTTCTTTCTTAGTGGTGTGTTTCTTTTGTTGATTGGTTCCTGCAATGTGCACTACATTCCGCCAAGTCACTTTTCTGTTAGAAGAAGTGGTGTTAGCACTGTCAGGAGGACATAGTGCCATAGAAGCGAAGGGTAGATCTTCTGGGGGCTGTCACGTGTGCATATCTTAAATTACAACCTAATCCCTTCCACCTAAAATCACACAGCCCCCCCCGATTAAGCAAATCCGGCGTCGTTTTTTGTTAATGGGAGTCCCCCAAATAGAAGGGCCCGCAAAAATGGAAGCCTGGGACCTGGGAAGCGCTTCAAAACCAAACAATTGCCAATGTCTTTTAATATATGTATACTATTGTATACTACTTTTTAAATTCGTATCCAAAATTGAAAACAACTACAAATGTTCCCATTACAAAACCCCTCATTGTGAAAATCGTATGTCTTCGATATTCTTCGCTTGCAATCTTTCCACCAAACCATCAACTATAGATGTTGAAAGGTGATGTCGCTGTGCAATGATGTTTGCGAAGCCTCGGTGAAAAGCACGTTTGTGTGGCTCCGTGCCACTGGGGAAGGGCGCACATGCATGTGTAAATGCGGCGTGTCGCTAGTGAGGGGATGTGAGGGACACGATTGGTGGTGATTCTAGGGGGTGGGTACCTAATAAACAGATCTCGCCCCCAAAAAAAGGTGTGATCACGTGTGCCGTTTAGCCGCACAATAAGAAGGCCGTCAGTCATAAACAAATATATTAATATATATATACTATATATATATATACATTTTTTGTATTTAGGGGTCTCCGACGAGTTCCTGTTTAAATTGTTAATAAATAGACACTCGGGAATATTAAGCAGTGACCACAAAACACCCTGATGCTGAACATTGTCACACAAACACCCTTCATTTTGCGTCTCTTCAGAAAGTAACTGCAAACGAGCCGCCGTTTTGGGATGTGTCGATCCGGGCAAACTGGGACTGGACGTCTTCTTTCCCAGCTAAATCAGGATCTTTCGTTTGTGCCTTAGGCGGGTGTGTGTGCTCAAGCTCAACCGATCCTCTCTCAACCCCATGCCAGCAAATCCGTCCATGTGGGAGAATGCAACATGATCTTGCTACCAAGCTGCTCTAGGAACAGGAAGCCGTGGAGAGTTGGGAGGACCTTCACACACTTGCATAAACATTCGCTTGACAGAAGTATACAAGTGAATCAGTCATGTGTGTGTGTTTCAAAACCTTAGGAGATCTTATAGGCTCTCTCAACAGCCCACGCTCCACCACTCCCTCAGCTACAGCTACAGGGAAAGGTCCAAAAACATGCCTCTTGCTGCAACTGCTGGTGGAGCAACAGCCTGCACATCTCAGAAGTCTGACAAGTTCAGCTGAAGTTTCGACAGTTTGGAGACGCTATGCTGGCGAAGCCGAGCTCCTATACATGTCTTGGTATACTATACACATGTAAGCTAGAAAAGGAAACAACAACTTGCACAGGAGCGAAAAGACTTCGTATCACATCGCTTGTCCCAAAAAGGGTCCCCGTTCTTTTTTGCAACATCTCCAATGGGTTTCTGCACTCTGGGTAGCATTACTGTCAACCTGCATTTACAAAACTCAAGCTCACTTTTCACTTTTCAGCAACTCTCACTCCAAAAATGCTATCATGCAAACTTCAAAAGGGGGCCGGTGCTCAAAAGTGAGGTTTACCGTTTCCATTATGAATTTGAGGACCTGAACTGGATGCACTCTCAACATCAAACAAACAGCCAAGGCAATGAATAAACGTATCACCGTATCACGTTATCTCCTTTCAAATAAACGTGTGCCGTTTTCTCAGGTCTGACAGCAATTCTGGAATCTAGGGACTGCCTACTTTAACCCGTGAGGTGCGGCGTTTCAAAGCCTTGTATATAACTATAATAAACTATATTTAAAGCAACATATATATATATACAGTATATATGTGTCATTATATATATATATTAATATCCGTTTGCGTGTTTGTTCCATGTTTCGGGTAATCACACAAATGCATCATAATGTGTAACAAACCCCTATCAAACCCCTTGTATAAAACAATCACGTTCCAAGTGGACAAGATGTTGAAGCCCAAATTCGACGGGCCTGGCGGGAGCCACGACCTTCCGGTTCTCGTTTGGATGACCGTTGTGCAGCCTCAGAAAGTTGCAAGAAATCCATGGGCAACGGACGCCGCTTTATACATGTTGACAATTTGAAGGGATTCTCTCATGGATGGGCCGTGCAGCTGCAACGCAACATGAAGGCAAGTATTGACACGTCAGTATTCAGACGGCAGACTTCTTCAGGTGGCACATCCGGATTTTGATGTTGAGACAACCGCTTTGTCAAACCGTAGCTGCGCCTCCAAATAGCGCTGCAAATTCAAGAAAAACATGCAAACAATGCATACGCTCACAAACCCCAAGCACGAAACACTGGAACTGCAGGGCCAACAATACCGCTGGATCACAAATTAAGAGTGAAAGATAGTGAAAGTAGGGCCATCAAGAGTGCGGTCACGAGGCCCACAGATCCGTGATGTCGCCAGGTCTGCTGAGCCACTTGATGATGCCGCAATCTCTGACCTCACGTTGCCAGCATTGCCTGTGGAGTCATTTGAGCATTGCAGCAGACCTCCAGTCATCCATGTTGGCAATTGTTGGTGCAGGGGTTGTCCAACAACCAAGCTTCTGGCTGAAGCTTCACAATCCGAACATTTGCCTCCTCGATGACGGACTGCAAATTCCTCAGCAACCAAGGCTGGCTCTCTCTCTCTCTCTCAACGCACTGTGATTGCAAGAATGCTGTCTGGTCACTGGAGCTCTTGTGAAACCACCACGCGAAAGTCATTCTCCACAGCGGTGCCTCTTTCGGACATATCCTGCAGTCGATTGCACCGTGCCGGCCTGACTCGTGTATATATATATATATATGTAACACCTTCACGGCAGGCTTAGTGTAGATCATTTGCCATGCCGACGACGCAGGGCGATCATGAGTCAAAGTTGAAAAACAAAAAAAAACTGAATTCTTAAATATTGCGCATACGTTCCGCATAAGCTTGTCACATCTTATCACTTATCACAACATAGCACACGTGATTTACACACAAGTTCATCTGGGTAGGCCAACCAGCTTGCAAAAATGCAAAGTCTTTCCACAAAATACCAAAATTGATTCAAATCAGTGTCCAAAACCAGTCGATCAAACTCCGCATCCAACTTGAATGATAATATCCAACTTGAATGCTAATGCCCTCTTGTTGGACGGGGTTCGGGGATTTTTTGTCTTGCCCATGACTGCCAAGCAGCCAAATCCAAAGTTGCAGACTTCTCCATTGCAGCAGCAGTGCCGCAGGTGAAACTTGAAGAGTTCAGGGCCAGTTTGTTAGGAACGAACCTTTGGTCCAACCGCTTCTGATTCTTTGGTCAAACGTCTTAGAGTCTCAACTGCTTATTATGATTTATTATGTGTTGTATGTCGTGACACCCAGTCTTTGAGCCACCTTCGAACTCCCGGCCCGAACTTCTTGTGTCCGCATCGACTGACTAACGCAGCACCAAGAGCAGGTGGTCCACAACGTCTTCCTAAAACAGCAATTGCGGGACCAAGGTTTTTCTCCCGCTGTCCAGTGAAGTCCGCTGAAGTCAGCGGGCACAGCGAATCCGCAACTTGCTGCAAATCCTGGTCGGCGCACGGATTTTACTGAATCGGAGCGGTAGCCTAGTGGGAAACCCCTGGTGGCTTTGCCGAAATAGCGAAGGTGAACCATTCGGAATTGCTGTCGATCCTCAGGCGCCTTTCCACTCTTTTTTGCTTCGGCTCAATCTGAGACGATCTGCTAAAATAGTGAGACGCCGAGACGCTCAATCTGACTGTCCAGTGAGTCCGATCAATTCGGCAACTTTCTGAACAGCGGCTTTATTGAGCCCAGCGGGAGCATGAAAGGCTGCAACACCAGCTTTTGCCTCGGCCAAATGACGCGCTTGCAGAAAGAGCACTCGCTTCAAAGGCACATTCCAGTCTGCAACTGACATCCCTGGCGCCCTGTAATGATAATGATATGTGGCTTTTGCCGCACAGCTTGCCGATTTCTGATGCAGGTGAGCTTCAGCCTCCTCGACATTGTGCAAGTCGTCGTCAAATAAGATCATGTCCTCAAATGTGGCTTGTCCCAATTCGTCCTAATCAAAAACAGAAGTCTGCGTGCCCAAAGATCCCACTTCAACAATAGCAACATGTAGCGTGACTGGAGGCTTCTTGTCTTTCTACAAGGGTGCCCGTACATGACAAACATGTGCATAGTTACTAGTAATTGGATGTGATTGGTAGCTTCGTGCATCTGCATGTGTCCAGCTTAGGTAAAGCAAGTTGTAGAACAAGTCCATGCTTCATGAGTTATATAGATGCCACAAAGTTCTCTCCAAGCATCAGTGGCCGCCACTTTGAAGCGCCGAGCCAGTGAGGCCAACTGGGTGTTTTTATCACCCAGCCAAGAACTCCCCTCCGGGCAGTGCACCTTGACACTCAAAGAATCTCTCAAAAGAATTCTATTGAGGGTGTAAGTAGGCTGTGATTCCTAGATTTTTGGAGAGACTTCGAAAGGCAAGCAAGTCATCCAAGCCACAACCTCGCCGTTGACCTGCGGGGCAGGGGAGCTGTCCACAGCTGTGTATATATGGCTAAATACAAGAGCCACGCTGAAGGGCGCACAGAAATTATATAAATTGCATTGCATTCATTGCCAACAACGGCCGTAGTATTCTTCTCCATTGAGTCTTCTAAAGTTGCCTCGTCGGGTGCGGGGTCTGGGAAGTCCGCTGGAGTGGTGATCACAACGCCATGGTCTTCGCCCAGCGCAAACTTCATGGCTTTGCCCGCCACATCTGCACGGCCGAAGGTGGCAATGGCCTCGCGCACAGGCTCAAATCGTGGCTGTTCAGTTCAATGTGGAAGGATCTGTGTTCAATGCTTTGTCGGCTCTGCTGTCAAGATGCGACTTCTCCTGCCCGCTTCCGCACAGCTCGCACCAACCACCGGAACAGTGCCAAGTCAGTGAAGGTCTCCTGGGCACCATCTCCCCAAGATTTGAGACCTGGATTGCTACAGCTGTTCGCAATCTGCTACAGTATAGTGCTTGAGCCGGGTCATCTCTCGTCCTCAGACACGGGGATATCCTCCAATGGTGCTTCCTTGTAGGTGCCCCACATATGCTCCTCACATGTCGCACACTGGTCTCTGCTTGGAAATGCAGGTCCTGATGCATGCTGTTGGGCGCTCAGTCCTTCGCAATGGTTCTGTCGAAATCCAAGCACACCAACCTGCGCATGCCACCACGCCTACGAATAGAATGTGGACGCTATAAGTATGCCCTTTCAAGCCTCTGCAGTACAACAGGCATGCCACGCTAATTGAGTTGTTGTGACCTTGCTCCACAGTGCTGTTCTCCATGAGGCACTATATACGTCAAGTCTAGCATCGCTCTAAGACCTTGTGTTCCTGATTTGTCCACCTCCAGGGTACTGGAGGCTCTTGGTCATCATTCCGCTCTGCTGCTCGCAAGTCTTCAAAAGCTGCCGATTCTGCAGCCGCCAAGCGCTCCAAAAGAGCACCTCAGCTTGAAAGGAATTTTGGATGGTCAACGAGTCAGGTCAAAATGCAAAAGGACAAGGGGAACATGGAGAATCTGGAGAAGTCAACAGCCTTCCAAGCACAACTTATTCCTGGATTGTACTTCGGTTGATGTTTGTCAAGCGGCGTGCTTTGGCCATGAGGGCTGGGGATGCCTGGGTAGAGCGTGACATAGCCAAACGCAGGGATTTGCTGTTGCGAAGGTTCACCGCGGCCTGAACATGGAGCAAACCGGACGCAGGTGGGTTCATTGCACCGTGAACTCGCAATACTCACTTACTCATACTCACCCTGCACAACAATGCCAAAACCTGCTTTACACTATCTACCATGCGGGCAATGCTTCCAGCACATACGATGAGCAACAATCCTAACAAGACTTGTCTGGCAGCAGCTTTACCAGTAGTATTTGGAGGCCTTCTCTGCTCCAGAGAGGGACACTTACAAACACAAGTTCCTTGAGTATCTCAATATGCATGATATCCCCGGCTATTCTTTGGGTTCGCTAGCTTGCAGCTTTCTACATTGGGTGTAATTTGAGGTTGCTAGTGCACAGAAACCAACCGCTGCGATTGATCGACGCGTGGCTAGCACAAATTTGCAAAAACCTAAATAAGTAAATATATGCATATATACACATATTATCCTGATCCTACTATTTAAGGCCTTCAAGAAGAAACAAAAACTCTCAGGCAGATTTTAAACAAACACAACATAGTTTAGAAAATGTGTTTAGGTTGTTATATTGTGCTGCATTCGACGCTTCCATGAATGCTTGCAGCTCTCCTAGGGACCTGTGCCACACAAGTTCAAAAATTGTCTGAACCATCTGCACTGGAAGGCGGGCGTTCTTTCTTAAGAATATCTTCAATGAGCCTCCCCAGGTGCCGCAGCTGTTGCAATTGGGGTGTTAGCTGGCTCACCCCCTATATATATTTTTGATTGAGCAAAGAGTGGCACCAAAGCCATGAGCATCCATGAGCCCTTCATAACCTAAGAAGCAAGCAAGCAAGCAAGCAAGCAAGCAAGCAGGCAAGCAGGCAGGCAGGCAAGCAGGCAAGCAGGCAAGCAGGCAAGCAGGCAAGCAGGCAAGCAGGCAGGCAGGCAGGCAGGCAGGCAAGCAAGCAAGCAAGCAAGCAAGCCAAGTCCGCTATAAGACATTAACAAATAGAGCTAACAAACTTGCTAGATTGAGGATATGCAGAAAACTTGCAGGCGCTCCTGAAGGAGCTTCTCTCCACCAGGACCACGGCCAGCCGCCTTGCCTGGCTGCAGGTTCTCGTTTGAGGAGAAAGGACCAAACACATGTCTGAAGAGACAGTGTGAAAAAAAGGCTCTCCTTGTCCACTGGGCCTCCTTGGCCCTGATTAAAAAAAAAGCCAGAAGCCTATTAGGCTGGAGGCCATCGCTATTATGTTGGAGAGGCCATCCCTATTAGGTTGGAAACCAGTAATACGTTGGAAGGCATTGCTATTAGGTTGGAGGCCATCCCTATTGGGTTGGAGGCCAAATCTATGGCGTTGGAGGTTAGAAGCCATCGCTATTACCTTGGAGGCCATCGCTAACAGGTTGGAGGTTGGAAGCCATAGCTAGCAGGTTGAAGGTCATCGCTACTAGGTTGGAGGCCATTGCTATTAGGTTGGAGGCCATTACTATTAGGTTGGGGGCCATTGCTATTAGGTTGGTGGACATTGCTATTGGTTGGTGGCCATTGCTATTTGGTTAAAGGCCATTGCTATTAGGTTGGTGGCCATTGCTATTTGGTTGGAGGCCATCGCTATTAGGTTGGAGGACATCGCTGTTGGGTTGGAGGCCTTTGCTATCGCTATTAGGTTGCAGGCCAATGCTATTAGTTTGGAGGCCACTGCTATTAGGTTGGAGGCCATCGCTATTCGGGAGACCATCACTATTTGGTTGGAAACCGGTATTACGTTGGAAGCCATTGCTATTAGGTTGGAGGCCACTATTTGGTTGGAGGCCATTGCTATTCGGTTGGAAACCGGAATTATGCTGGAAGCCATCGTTTCTAGATTGGAGGCCATCGCTATTGGGTTGGAGGCCATCGCTATTCGGTTGGAGGCCATCCCTATTGGGTTGGAGGCCATTGATATTAGGTTGGAGCCCATTGGGATTAGGTTGGAGGCCATTGCTATTAGGTTGGAGGCCATTGATATTAGGTTGGAGGCCATTGCTATTACAGTAGGTTGGTGGCCATTGCTAATTGGTTGGAGGCCATCGCTATTCAGTTGGAGAAGCCATCGTTATTAGGCTGCAGGCCATCGCTATTGGGTTGGAGGCCAAATCGATTGCGTTGGAGGTTGGAGGCCTTCGCTAACAGGATGGAGGTTGGAAGCCATCGCTATTAGGTTGAAGGCCATTGCTATTAGGTTGGGGGCCATTGCTATTTGGTTGGAGGCCAATACTACTAGGTTGGGGGCCATTGATATTAGGTTGGTGGCCATTGCTATTGGTTGGTGGCCATTGCTATTTGGTTGGAGGCCATTGCTATTAGATCTATTAGGTTGGGGGCCATCGCTATTAGGTTGGTGGCCATTGCTATTTGGTTGGAGGCCATCACTATTCGGTTGGAGAGGCCATCGCTATTAGGCTGCAGGCCATCTGTGTTGGGTTGGAGGCCAAATATATTGCGTTGGAGGTTGGAGGCCATCGCTATTACCTTGGAGGCCATCGCTATTCGGTTGGAGGCCATCGCTGTTCGGTTGGAGGCCAGCGCTATTAGGTTGGAGGCCATCGCTACAGGTTGGAGGCCATCACTACTAGGTTGGAGGCCATTGCTATTTGGTTGGGGGCCATTGCTACTAGGTCGGGGGCCATTGCTACCAGGTTGGAGGCCATTGCTATTTGGTTGGTGGCCTTGCTGTTAGGTTTGGGGCCATCGCTAGTAGGTTGGAGGCCATCCTGTTGCAGGCCATCGCTATTCGGTTGGAGGACATCGCTGTTAAGTTGGAGGCC